ACAAAGATTTCCAAATTTTGCAAAACACTGGGATATTCAACACGAAAAAAGAAAAAGCAGAAGCCACAGTAAAAATTGCAAAAAAAGCTTATACAAACATCTGACGAGAATAATGAAGACTTATGACTTTGTCTTCTTCACCACAGTAATGTGTCAAATAAAATTGGATCTAGCCCTGTACAAAGATTATTCTCTAGACAAACTAGAACTTTAACACCTTGTGCCATAAAAAATTACAAACCTGAAATAATAAAGAATGTATCTGATATAATAGAAAACGATAAACAAAACAAAAAATTTTATTATGATAAGGCATGCAAATTCTTGCCTAATTTACAAATTGAACTGCCAAAAGCTGTTCAGATAAGTACGGAAAGTCAAAGCTTGGTCAAGTGGATATATTAAAGAAAAATTAAAGTGGTTGTTCATACATTGCTAGAGTTAATGACAAAAAATATAGAAGAAGTTTATCACCTGTAAAGAAATCACCGTTTGAACAGCAGGACGCGGGTTTTCCAGAGCAGCCGACATCGTCATCATCTTTAGTGCAGGAATCGAAAGAGACCGATGAAGTGATGCCAGCTTCTACTGAGGAGAATGGAAGAAAGAATGAACTGGTGAGTGAGAATGAAGAAAGAGTGGGACTAAATTTACGTAAATTTTTTCCGCCATTTTTAAACGAGTTATGACGTCATCGAAGTTTTTTTTAAATGGAAATCAATAAATATTAATATCGGTTACGATAAGAAAATTTTCGAGAAAAATTAATTTAAAGATTCATTATTTCCCGTTCATTTGATATAAAAAATAGTAGTAGTCGTGCGTAACCATGGCAACCAATTGTTTTGATTTAAAATTTCCAAGTGTCAAAATTCGATTTGAAACAGTTTATTGTGCGTAATAGTGAGTTTACACATGCATGGATTTAGTGGCGCCAATAAAAACTGGCGCGCCAGTAAAATTAAATTGCATGTGTAAACATCAACTGGCATGCAAGTTGAAACCATGCATGCATGGATCGGAAAAGTCTGCACCCTTCTGAAATTACTGGCGCCAGTGATGAGTCTAAAACATGTAACCATGGCAACATAGGTGAGTGTCCACAAAAATACAAAATTTTTTAATGTCAAATTTAGGTTATGTTTCATTGCATTCAAATTAAATCCCAATTACGTTAACACATTCAACGATAACGTATAATTATCCACCTTAAACCTAGAATATATCTATTTTCCTTTCGGTTTAGGTTCTAATTTGTGTATATAGTTGTAGTACACTTTAAAAATGAAACTGGCGTGTCACTCATTTTTTACATGTGCCACGCTAGTGGCATATGTAATGTAAACCTTTACTGGCGTGCAAGTAGAACTGGCGCAACTACTGGCGCCACTAAATCCATGCATGTCTAAACTCACCTTTATGGAATGGTTTTTGTGGGAGA